ATAATAAATTGCTTTTAAAAAAATTAACCAATAAAAATTCATTGATAGTTATCTGAAATTTCGGAATGATCTACATTGTTGATGAGTATAGATGACCTGCACCATACTGCAAATGCTGCAATATTAAGATTATTCACATTAAAAGAATGGTGTGAGGTTTGTTAAATGTGTGATTTGTTTGTTTGTTTGTGCACAAATAAATGCACCATTTTTTTTTTCAAAAAAAAAAAAGTTAATATAATAATAAGAATATTATTATTTATTAAAGGAACAAATCAAAAATAAAGATAATCTACATACTGGACCAACAGATAGTTTTCATGATAGGGGTTTCAAAAATGAAATTAACAAGTTAATTCAACAAACTAGGAATGCTTATGAAGTGTATGTAGAAATAATGAATTGTTTTATATTATATTTAAATTTTATTTAAATTTATATATTTTTCCCTCATTCATAATGGAAAGTTCACTTTACTGTGATGCATTAAAATATGGTTTTTATGAATTACAAACATCTCATGATTGGTAGCGTGAAGCAACGTCACAAGAAGGTGAAGGAATGCATCGAGATTTAATATTAAGATGGATAGAGTTACAAGCATTATTATTATCACCAATTGGTCTGAATATATATGGAGTGAAGTTTTACAAAAAGTTGGTATTATTATTTTTAATAAATATTACTATACCATTTGATTAAAAATAATTTTCAATTATTTTAGGATGGATTTATAGTAAATGCATCATTCCCTTCACCATCAGAACCTGTTGATTAAAGTTTAATTGAAGCAATTGAATATATTAGAAAACTAATAAAAAACATTCGTGATTTGGAAGGTGCCTCACAAAAAAAGAAAAGAAAAAGGGTAGTAAGGCAGATAATTTTGATCCCAATAAACCTAAATCTCTTAAATTGTTTGTTGCAACAAAATTTCCAGAGTGGCAAGGTTTGGTGGTTGAAGCTATAAAACAAAATTATGATGAGGTTTGTGTCTAAAAAAAAAATAATAATAATATCCCAAAAGATTAACAGTAATATTATCAATTTATTTATTATATAAAAATTAGGAATCCAATTCATTTGATGATGGTAGAATTCGAGCAAATTTAGGAGAGAAGGGAATTCTAAAAAACAAAAAAACATGCCATTTGTACAAGATTTTAAAAAGAGAGTTGAAAAAATTGGCAAAGAAGCATTTAATAGGGCATTATTATTTAATGAATATGACACGCTTGTTATAGCAAAAGGATTTATTAACATAGTTTAGGATATATTCAATCAGATATTGTGAATGCCGAGGAAGTTTCAGAAGAAAAAAGATTAACAGAGTTTGCAGTACCTGGAGAGCCAGGAATTTTCTTTAAGAATATATAAAAAAAATATTAAATGCTATTTATTCGTTTATTTTTTAAAACTTACAAAAGTAATAAATTATTTTTGTTGTTGGTTTTGTAGAATATACTATAAGTAATAATTAAATTGTATTAATATAACTTTTATAGATTATATAATTACAAATGAACTTTTAATATCATCATGTATTATCATACTACTTACCAAGCTAGTTGCAAATACAATATCACGTTTTATCAAACTTCGAGCTTTATCCATTTTAGTACATAATTCTATATTTCCCATTAACTGTGCAGCACTTTTTATTTCACTACAGGTTTCATCTAATCTCGTAATGCATCGAACAATTGAACCCTCCATCACATCTGTCAATCCCATTATATCTTTAAATGGCTTTTTTAAAAAAATTTTAAATAAACATCAAGTTCTGAAAATACTTTACTCTGCAATAACAAAATTTAAAAAGTTTACCATTCCTCTTGCCCATTCATATACTACTTCAACTAATCCAAACTTAATTGTTTCAACATAATCACCTACTTGAATATCAACTTCTTTGTTTCTTTGAACCTCTCCAACATACTTCGCAACTTTTTTTATTTCTGCAACACCCTTTTTTCATAAATAAGATAAATTAACTAGATATTATATTTTTGATCATATATATATACACTACAAAATATTGAATGAACATTACTTTTTCTAAGTTTGGAGTTAAAGTCGGTTCACTAGCATTTTTTTCTTGAAATACCAAACATGATAATAATGCAACAATTTCAGCTGGGTCATATTCAGATTCTTTCAAAACATTTCCAAAAATCAATTCAGTGACTAACAATTCATCAGCAGTATTAATCTATAATAAAAGAATAAATGGCGTAAATATTATTACCTTATGTAAAACCATTGTCCGCTTTTTTAACAATCTGTAATTATATAATAATCAAGTAAATAGCAAAAGCGAACAATTGTTTCGAGTAGTGTAATAAAATTTTTTAAATAATAATAATATTATTATTTTATGATCCACATCAAGAATATATATACACACCTTACAAGCAACTTGACCTCTCAATTGAACCACTGAAGTTTTTTCATCAATATACTTTAAATATTTAAGAACCTCTATTCTTTGTTCATACTCTGGCATTAATTCCAAATTTTTACCAGTTATTGTATGAAGCAATTCATTGAGGTTTTTTTCTAATGACATTGTTTCGTGTATAAGTCCATACTAAATATATGCATATAAAAAATAAGTTTTAAGTTTTCATATAGATAAATTCTATTTAAACCAAATCTAATTAAATATTAGCAGCCAAAAATATATATTCACATGTTCATTTAATTCCGGGCATTTTATACATTGAAATGAATATATTTTATTCATGAGCCGAACTTTCTCTTTTAAGTTCAATTGAAATTCAAACGTCCTGATTTTTGACCAATCATTCTCCAGTATACCGGCTTATATCATCAAAATTAATTTTTGATTAGTTGGTTGACACTTTTTCGTTGATAATGTAAATATATATAAAATATTACTTTTTTTCATATCTAACGCGTGACGAAGTAATTGTTGAGCTAATTTAGTCACATCAGTTAAGTCGTCGAACTGTTTTTTTTTTGAGATAGATTAAAAATAATTATTATTCGATATAATAATATAATAACAATATATAAGGAATTAGGTTATTTACTTTAATTGTGAATTTTGTGACAGTTATAATATTGGTAATTGAAATGAATTGACGATCATATGTATAAGAACTCTGATCAGGAATTGTTATATTGGTTATAGGAATTATTGTTGATTTTTTTGAATTAATAGTATCTAATATAAAAAATTAATTTTATTTATTTTAATAAATCGTCATCACAAATTTATCACAAAAATGGGATAATAAGAAATCCACAGCATACCTTTACTGGATTTATCCAAAAGCATTAAAACTTCAAAGGAAGGGTTTAATATAACAGCAAATACATTTCCATAAGCCTACATAATAAAAATGGATTATAATTACATAAATACATAGCATTAACTATTTTAATAATAAGAAGTACAACATAGCAAAACAAACATACAATATTATTAACAACAATGATTCTCCCTTGACTTAATGCTTTTGTATCTGCCAGTTTTGTAATGATTTTTCGATTCAAATCAAGAATATTGGCTGAAATATTATAAAATTCTTTTATATCATGATTGCATATTGTACATTCGAGTGTTTTTGTGGCCTTGAGAATCTTTTCTCTCTATATTAATAAAGTTTTTTTAAATTAATTGCTTAATATTTTTTCTTTTTTTTTAAACCCCCCATTTTTTTTATTACTTCTGCAAATTCTCGCTCTTTATCTGGTAATGTTTTTTGACTCGTATTTTCCGAAAAACTACGTTTAATCATATCTTCAACTTCAAATGATTCAACTCTTAATAAATTGAGAATCATGTTGTATGTAAGACGAAATTGGGATTTTAATTTAGTTGGTGTTCCTAAAATCATTGCATTAAGTTGAGATTCCTAAAAATTTATTATCATATATAAAATCCAAAATACATTAAATAAATAAAATTAAGACAAACTAATAGATAATTATTTCTAATGACTTACACTAGGAAATTCATTTCCTGACGGTACTATAATCACAGTACCTGTTTTGTCGAATGAACGACGGCCAGCACGGCCGGACATTTGAATATATTCACCTGAATAAATTTTTTTAAAATAAATTTATTGATAAGATATTTATTATTATTAGTGAATTGTGAAGAAGAAGGTTATATTTTTTTACCAGGAATCAATTGTCTAAATTCTTTTCCATCATGTTTTCTTATTCCAGAGAATACAACGGTCTTTGTTGGCATGTTTACACCCTTTTTAATATATATATAAAAACAAAATTAAAATATGTGCATGCAATTTAATGTTAATATTAAATATATCTTTTTTAGTTGTACCCACCATAGCAAAAGTTTCTGTCGCAAATAAAACCTTGACAAGTCCTTTTGAAAATAAAATTTCTACCATCTAAAAAAAGGAAAAAAATAATACACAGATTTGAAACACTAGATTACTGTATTTAATTTAATTTTATTTTGTACCTCTTTGATAACTGGCAATAAACCACCATGATGCACAGCAATTCCTCTACTTAATAAATCTCTCATTCTTAAAATTTGTGGTAACTCTTTATCAGTTTCTACAACATTAAAAAATAATAATTAATATAAAAATAATATTGTATTGCGATTAAAAAATGCATTAAAATATAACCTGTTAGTTTTAGCTTATTTAAACTTTTCTCTAAAAAAAGATGAATTTTACTTTTATCATCTGAAGTGCATAAATCCAAATTTGTTAAATAATTAGCATATTCATCACATTTTTTTTTGGAAAAGGTAAAATTTACAGTAGGCAAAAGTTCTTTCTTTTTCAAAAGATCAATAAGATGAATCCACATGCTTCTATCCTATAATCATAATAATAATAATAATAATAATAAAATAAAATAATAAATAAGTTTTAATATTTTGTTTAATTAAAAAAAAATTTATTGATTTATATTCCAAAAAATAAAATAAAATACCGGTTGCATAGAGTATTTAGCCCCAGAACTACTATTACTTCCTTTTCCACCGCGAGATGATGATCCATGACCTCCACGAGTGCTTACTTTTGTTTTTACCTCTTTATCTTTTTTGGTTAATGCTTCATTTGCTAATTTATATCTATTATAATATCAAAATAAACAAATATCTTTCAAGTTATAATTGGTATGTATAACATGTGATGTCTTAACTTAATTAATTAACATACATACCCTTCTTTAAGAAATCTTCGATCAGCATTAACTATTTTATAAATTTGTTTTTTTGCATATAGAAAATGTTCAAGTGGAACTGGTCGTTTTAGTGTGCTAATAACATATATATCCTTTTTCTTTGTTCGTCTGAATGTATTAATATTTAAAAATTAAACCATTAAAAAACTAATTTATAAATTGATTAAAATAAATATTATATACCCAATCCAGTCAGCAAATTCTTTTGTGTTGGGAACAGTTGCTGATAAAAGAACAAATTTCACATGACCAGGTAACATAATTATAACCTCTTCCCAAACTACTCCTCTCTTTCAAGCACATTTAATACAACGTATTAATATTAATGTATAATATAAAATCAGTATGTTTTAACAAAAAACTATAGTTTAAATTTAAAAGCATACTTCTGAATCATTAACATAATGAACTTCATCAAAAATTACAAATTCAACATCCCTAATTAAATCGGATCCTCTATATAACATGGATCTTAAAATCTCTGTTGTCATAATCAAACAAGAAGCCCCTGAATTTATTTGTACGTCACCAGTTAAAATTCCAACATTGTTTTCACCAAATGTTACTTTGAAATCACGATATTTTTGATTGGAAAGAGCTTTAATAGGGGATGTATAAATAGCACTATGAAAAGGATTATTAAATATTAATAAAGTAAAATTTTATAATTATAAATCGAATATATAAATAATAGTAAATACATACTGTGTCTTATGTTTTTGAGCTAATGCTATAGCATACTCTGCCACAGCAGTTTTTCCTGCAGATGTATGAGCTGCAACAAACACAGAATTGCCACTTTCTAAATGATATACCGCTTGTTTTTGAAAAGGATCCAATTCAAATTCATACTAGTTTAAGATAAAATGAATTATTAGAATTTTTCTCTTAATATATATATATATAAATTGCCTAATAATGAAGAATACTTTATATGCCAACTCTGGTATCAATTCTTTAAAATTAAGTAACTCATCATCTAAATTAACAACATGTGCCCATTCACGTTTCTTTGAGTCGTTAGTAATATATTTACTTGCTTTAATAATCTCTTTTGATGATTGTGACTATAAAGTAATCAAAAGATTAAAAAATTTTCTAAAACGAAATAATCATAATAATAATAAAATATTTAAATATTATTATTACTTGAGTTGACAAAAATTTATCAA